GCATGTTTATAAGGAATTTCGGAAAAAGTCTTGGTGTCAAATCGGCTCCAGCGAATTTGGCGGCAAGTGGCGCGAACGCCAGAAATGAATACATATTTGGGCTGAGGATGCCAATTAGAGTCATAATTTACAACTCATTAGTTGAAAGTACTTAAGTTTACCTGACGAATTTGTAGAAAAGGGTGCGCTCCTTAGAGGTTACTGTATATTTCAAGTACAGGCCATGAGCAACTTTTAGGGTAGATTTGACGGGATTTTTGGGGTGGTAATGGTTGAGTAAGGTCTTCTCCTTATGCCTTGTTGTTCTGCTTTGTGAGTTTAGCTCTTTAGTTGAACTGTTAAGCGGTAATGCTCTAGATGTTATAAGTGCGAGAAACATTCGGAGTGTTCGGAAAACTTCTACAAGCAATGTGTCAAAGAAGAACTGGAGGGACGTCGTTTCCAAGGAGATGGGAAAGGACAGGATACGTTTGAGGAGCGTATGCAGAAGTATCTGGATGGCGAGTTGGACGAGATGCCAGGTGCGTTTCTATTTGTTCACTAGCTTCTCTAACTCGCTTGGAACGCCATTTATGTCTCAGGTACAAACGGGAGTGGAATCGCGACAGATGACGCCGACCCTCTCGATTCTGATGATGAAGAACCGGGAGCGAGTGGATTTCAGCCGAAAACAGAGCAATATTTGGAAAAAGTGGTCACAGACACTGTTGATGATTATTTGCTTGACGAAGATGAAATTGACCGCAGGTTACTGGTGAGTCGGCTCCTGTTGGGTTCGCTTTATTGAATGTTTTTACTGAAATATTCCAGCTACTAGAATTTCTAAGACTCAAGACCATTGCTTTCCTTGTTACTGCTCTGAAAATGAACGGTTTTCCCATTTTAGAAAATGGGCATTGGTGGCGAAGTGGAACAACTGATGGGTGTTTTGAGTGAAGAAGAACGTGCTGCGTTTGCTCAACTTGCAGAACAAATCAACATCGATACAAGCGGGTTAAACGAAAGTTGCTTCAAAAAGCGATAAAGCCTTTCACATTGTCATGATGTCAATAAATCAATATATTAATT